TGCACAGTTTCTTGCAAGTAAGTCCCTTTGATCACAGTAGGACTTGATTCTGAGTAAATGTGCATAGGACTGCTCTGCACATTCACTCTGGTTTGTGCCGCATGTAGAATAAGGGAGCAACTCCAGGGCATCTGTAAATATTTGTCCAAAATTCCCAAACTCGTTTCTTTTTTCTTATTTTGTACTTCGATGGCTCATTTTCTCCAAATCATCTGAGGGATTTGCTTTCTGCTTGACATCAGAGGTAATTAGTAACTTAAACAGAGGATTTCCCGGCCCCTGCTAAGCTATCAACAGCGCTGTTTTGGTTTTGTTTTGGTTTTTTAAAAAAATATTATTCACATCTTACTCTATTTCATTTTAGTTTATTTTTATTATTTTCACCCCCTGGCCTCCCGGTTCATAACGTGATATATAGTTAAAAAAGAAGTTTGGGAGACGTTCAGAGTAAAGCTCCTGCAATTGCTGTACTTCAATCCAGGCTCAAAGTCAGTGTACTCAGCCAAACACAGTGAAAGCGAGCAGAAATATTGAGCTTTTATAGAGCTTACCTTAGGAAGAAAGAGGGAGGGAGAGGGAGAACTGAGCAGGGAACATAGGCATGTGTTTTGATGGCAGAACAAAGTACTGCCAAACATTTGCCCTCCTTAAGAGTTTGCGTCTCTCTCCCACCCGCAGAGAAGCAGGAGTGTTTGTTTTATCAATCTACTCTGGCCTTCCTCACCTTGGTGCTCTCCAGATGGGTTTGGACTGATGGGAGTTGTAGTCCAAACCCATCTGGAGGGCACCAGATGGGGGAAGGTTTTATCTGATCTGATACATTTTCAAGCACTCTTCCATCTTAAACTTTTCAAGCTCAATGAATAGTGTTCTGGGGTGATGTCCAAGGTTAGTCCTACACAGAGGAGACTCATTGAGCCATATCAAGCTAAATCCTGCTCAGGGTAGACTCATTGAAATTAATGGAGCTATGTTAGTCATTTCCATTCATTTCGGTGGGCAGCATCCAACTAAGTTTTACTGAAGGGGAGTCCCATTGAAATTGATGGACCTAAGTTAGTGCTGTGCTAATAGAATGGTCTGGCTCACTGTACATCAGATGTGATGGTGCCACATTAAAAAAAAATATCCTAAAAATCTGCAGGAAGAACGCTAGAACAGCTGGGGATCAGTTAGGGATAGTAGCTTTGTCCTTCACGTGTTAGGGTTTTTTTTAATATATATATATATATTATACAGGATGGAAAGCAATAAAAAAATGTCACCCTGCACTTATAGAAGTGGTACATTAGACAGCCAGTGTGGTATAGTGGTTAGAGTTTCAGACAAAGACCTAGTACACCACCTTGAGCTCCTTGGAGGAAGGTGGGATAGAAATGTAACAAACAAACAAACAAACAAACAAACCCATTTCACTCTACCACTTATTTATAAAAACATTTGTATACCGCTATTCATTTTTAAAAAATCAAAGTGGTTTACAGCCCATACTCACACACACATGAAAACCACATAAAACTTTAAAGTCAGAGATCATCAACCGGTACAGAAAGTTGTTTTTTTCTTAATTGCCTGCGTAAGCTTAGTAGCATAGAAAAGTTTTCATCAGACATTTAAAGGTTAAAACAGAAAGTGCCTGCTGAATCTCTGTTGGCAGAACATTTCACAGGACTGGTCCACTGACATTAAAAGCTCATTTTTGTGTCACTGTCAGATGAGCCTCTCCAACTTGGGGAATGACCAGCTGCTCGCCTGGTGATGGGGCTGGGATACAAGGGTTCAAGCAGTCCCTAAGGTACCTTGAACCTAACTCATTCAAGGCATTGTAAATCAATACAAGGAACTTGAACCTGGCTTGCTAGCAGATGAGCAGCCAGTGCAGAGGTTTTAATAATGGTGCCACACCTTGCCAGCCATGTGCCCCTATCAACAATTTGGCTGCTGCGTTCTGCACCAGTTGGAGCTTCCAAAGCAGGTCCAAGGGCAGCCCTGCATAGAGCATGTTGCAGGAATCCAGGCTTGGGGTTACTAATGCATTGACTTCAGTGGTCAGGCTATCCCTGTCCAGGAACAGACATAGCTGGTGAACCGGACAGACCTGGTAAAAGGGACTCCTAGCCACAGGGACACTTGGGCTCCTAGAGACATACATGTCTCGCCAGAGTGGTGCATGCTCTGGTTATCTCCCGCTTGGACCACTGCAATGCACTCTGCATGGGGCTACCTTTGAAGATGAGACAGAAACTACAACTAATCTAGAATGCAGCTGCCAGACTGGTGACTGGGAGTGGCCACCAGGACCATATAACACCGGTCCTAAAGGATTAGCTCCCAGTATGTTTCCAAGCACAATTCAGAGTGTTGATGCTGACCTTTAAAGCCCTAAACAGCCTTGGCCCTGTCTAACTGAAGGAGCGTCTCCACCCCCAGCATTCAGCCTTCTGGTGGTTCCCTCACTGAGAGAAGTGAAGTTACAGGGAACCAGGAAGAGGGTCTTCTCGGCAGTGGCGCCCTATGGAATGCGCACCCCATCCCTGTCAGATGTCAAGGAAATAAACAACCATCCGACTTTTAGAAGACATCTGAAGGCAGCCTGCTATAGGGAGGTTTTTAATGTTCAAGGTTTTGCTGTGGGTTTATAATTTGTTGGAAGCCGCCCAGAGTGGCTGAGGCAACCCAGTCAGATGGGTGAGGTAACAACAACAACAACTCTCAAGCTGTACACCTTTGCCTTCAGAAGGAGTGCAACCCCATCCAGAATGGGCAACTTGCCTCTTTCAGGGTTGCACTACTGAATGTGTAGACCAAGCCAGTGTAAGAAACCCAGAAAAAAATGTGAAATGGCTGAGTTAAGCCAGAGGACACACCCAGTAATCATTTTCTTACTCCAGGGCACATCTCCTGTCCTACTGGAGCAAGGAAAACCCATGTAGTGCCATTCAGTTGTTGCTGGACTCCAACTCCCATCAGTCCCAGCCAGCACAGTCAGTGGTCATGGATGATGGGAGTTGCAGTCCAACAGGACCTGCAGACTACCTTGTTGGTTACCCCAGTTTAGATAACCCATTTCCTTTAACCCGTGCATGGATACTGATCCTTGGGTAGGGTTCTAGAGAGGATTTTGTCCGGGCTGCATTACTCTGCCATTCCTTCCCTTTAGTAGCTTCTCCAAGAGGGGAGAAACAAGGTGGGGATTGGAGGGGGGGGGCTTTCCTCTCTGCATGTCTCACAATGTCTGGTGTTTGCTCCTGATGCTGCGGGGCTGAAATGCCCTCTGTTTCTCCAGGCTGCAACTCTTACATTTGATCATGGTTGATTTAGCCCTCTTGCCGTTTGAGATAGGCTAGTTAAATACTGAGCGGCTTACTCTATAATCTTTTGAAGATCTTTCAGCATTTCCAATGCTTGGATTGCTATCCTTCAACATCCCTGAGACTAAAAGAAACATCCGGGATGGTTTTTGAGCCTCCTCTTATCCTCTGATGGTACATCAAAGCAGGCGCTGATCCAGCAGGTCCTCTGTGAGCACGGAGACTCTGATACACACAAGAACATCCCTTTGCCTATAAAAGGGAGCCCCTGTGAATGTGGAGCTTTGGGTATATGTCTTGGCTGTGACTCCTGGAGGACCTGCTCCTTGCCTTGCAGGCCTTTTTCTACCTACAATTTTTTTTTGGCTCTACTGAAAAATTCAGCTGGGGTGTTGTTTGGGGCAGGGGTTGTTGCTGTTAGTTTTTTCATTTTAGATCTTGTGATTTATGTGGAAATGGTTCAGTTTGGTTGTGTATTTTTTTAATGTTTATGGCTACTTTTGTTGTAGTTATGTATTTGTTTCATGTTGTAAGCCGCCTCAAGCATGGTTTGAACTGTGGAAAGGCAGCATACAAATAAAATCCGTGTATGTATCACCCGTGTATGTATCAAAGCCCTGCAGGTGTTTTTTTGCCTTGTGTCTCGAGTGAAGGTTGCATATTCATTTTGACGGAGGGATAGAGCAAATACAATTCAGAAGAGTGGAGAGGCTGTAACTTGGTGCTGGCACCTCCAAGTAGGGCTAGGGAGACCCCTTTCTGAAATCCTGGGGAGCTGCTTTCATACAGTACAGTGGTACCTCTGATTGCGAACGGGATCCATTCTGGAGGCCCGTTCGCAACATGAAAAGCCCACAACCTTAAGCGCCGGATCTGCGCAGGTGTGCAGCGTGATTTGGCGGTTCTGCGCATGCGCAAAGCGTGATTTAGCACTACTGCGCATGTGCAAGCAGTGAAACCCAGAAGTAATCCTTTTTGGTACTTCTGGGTCGCCGCGAGACGCAACCTGAAAAAACGTAACATGAAGCAAACGTAACATGAGGTATGACTGTATAGGCCAGGGGTCTGCAACCCGCGGCTCTGGAGCCACATGTGGCTCTTTTACACCTTTGCCACGGCTCCGGGGCGGATACTAGTGAGGGGAGGAGGCGCATTGTGCGCCCCGACACTCCCCACTGTGGCGGGCGCTGTACTGGCTGTGACATCGCATGGGGGCAGTGCGTGCGTTAGTCACGCACCGTCCTGACGTCACCTTCCCGCCCACTACATTGTAAGGGGCATGTACGCTGGTCACTGCATTGAAAGAGGGCATGAACGCTGGTCATTGTTTTGAAGGGGAGTGAAGAACACACACATACAAAAAGGTAACTTGTTAATTTAACGTTTATTTCTATGAGGAGGAGTAATTCTGAGGGGTCAAACAAAGAAATAATAAAAAACTGACAAAAAAGATATTTTTATAATGACGAGTTTTGTGGCTCCCAGTTTTTTTTTTCTTCGGAAACGGGTCCAAGTGGCTCTTTTTGTCTTAAAGGTTGCAGACCCCTGGTATAGGCAATACTGAGCTAGATGGGTTTGACTTCTTCATGTACCCCCATGAGAGGTCTGGAAGGGGGCAACACAAAAGCATGGCTTTTCAGTGGTGGCCCCCAGCTTGTGGAATGCTGTCCCCAAGGAGGCACTCCTGGCACCGACTATCTTTTCTTTCTCTTTTTGGCCTGGGATTTTGGCCCTTAATTGGAAGTTGTAGCATTGCGGTCTATTTTATTGGAGTCGGATCAGTAAGTCCTGGTCTGTTTCGTCTGTGGTTTTAGATTAGAAAAAGAATATATGGATGCTCTTAATTGGTTTTAATGTAAATTGCTTTGTGTCACTCTGTGGCAGCTTCCTGTGCATTAGAGTAGAAGGAACTCTAAGGGCCTCTGTGGACTCCAGAAGGCAAGGGCAGAGTGTGAAAGCAGCACACAGACTGTTGGACGGGGACCCAGGTTCACATCTTTTAGTCCAGGAAGCTCACTAAATGGCCCTGGGAGTATCACTGCCTCCCAGTTCAGCACCTTTCCAGGGCTATTGTATGAGTAAATAAGTACAGCATACTGAAATTATGCTTATAAATTAGAAGAAAGGGATTGCCCTAGTCCCAGGAGCGCCTTACACAGCTCTACATCAACTGCTCAATGGAAGGGAATCCGCCTTGAATGCGGAAGGCATCAAGTTCATTCCCTGGTAGGACTGGGGATGTTTCCTACCTAAAACCCTGGAGAGCTGCTGCCTCTCAGTGTAGACAGTACTGAGCTGGATGCACCCCAGGGTCTGACTCAGAATACAGCAGCTGCATATGGCTGTTACTCAACTCACCTTGTGCTTCTGTCTGTGTGTTTAGGGAGGACCATAGCCCAGTGGTAGAGTGTCTGCTTCACATGCAGAAGGTTCCAGGTTCAATCCCCAATGGCATCTTCAGGCAGGGCTGAGATTATCCTCTGTCTGTAATTCTGCAGAGCCACTGCCAGTCAGTGTAGAGCTGGATAAAGCAACTCAGTATAAGGCAACTTCCTGTGCTCCTGTGTCCCGTTGAAATCGATAGGACTTAAAATTGCTTATTCTTGGCTAGAACACGTGCTATAGATAGAATAGTTAGATAGATATAGATATATTTAACATTTACAAACAATTATGAAACTCTCCCCCTCCAAAAAAAGAAGAAAAAAAGTTGGCTCACCGTCCTCTCCTGGCAAAACAGCAGGAAACTGAAACCGAAGAACAGCCACAGACAGAAATAATTTAAAGCCCATTCAGATTCCAAACCAATTCCATTTCTTGTGCATCCAAAATTTAGCGGGGACACACACACACACACTGTTGGATAGAAATAGGGGGGCTCTGCAGTTGCTTACGCAAGGCTGGAGGTTTGCAGAGATGTTCCTAGTGGATTGGGCCCACCATCTGAATGCAAGTGTTGGGGAGGGGGGGTGGACGGGAAGCCCCTTTTGTGGAGGAGAGAATGAAGCGGAACGCCGATGTTCCCTGAAGCTTGGCAAGGCCTAAAATGGCCAAATTGAGACAGCAGCCTTAACTTAAACCTCCAGGGGGCAAAGCGTGTGTTTAACATATTTAACATCTGCCCTCCTATTTCTCGGAGCACGGAGCGACGCGAGGCTGTAATAGGAAGACAGGGCAGGGACCATCTGCCTGGCTCTGAGAAGTGTAGGGCGAGTGTATTACCACAAATGGCAGAAGACAGATGTATTTACACCTACGTGGGCAACACCTTTAAGCGCCGCTCCGAGGGAACAAGGCCCTCCCCCTTTCTCTCCCTCTCTCTCGTTCTGGCAGCAGCTGCCTAACCTTGGCGATTGTGCTTTAGTCAGGAGGAGAAGTGCCTGGAACCCACTGGATTTTGCAACTGTCTCCTGTGCAATGAAGGAGGGGGAAGAAGATTGGCATTTTCCTCTCCCTTCAATTCGTCTTCAAAGTCTCAGATCTGTCACTAGGCTACCCAGGCAGTGCTAGATTTTAAAAAAGCGATTCTGGGCCAATACCAGATAATTCTGGAATGGCAATCATTTTTACCCAAGGTTATTTGATATATTACACACACACACACACACACACACACACACACACACCAACATCCTCCTATTTTTGAAATAGTTCACAATGATTTTCTTCCCTATAACCTCATAGATCAGGTAGTATGGTGGCTTAGTGTCCTATTTTACAGAGGACTCTTAACTATCTTAAGGGTGGCATGGGCTGTACAGTGGTACGTCTGGTTGTGAACGGGATCCATTCTGGAGTCCCATTCGCAACCTGAGCAGAAAGCAGCGTGCACAGGTCGTGATTTCGCCGCTTCTGCGGATGTGCGTGACGTCATTTTGAGCATCTGCACATGCGCAAGTGGCGAAACCTGGAAGTAACCCTTTCCAGTACTTCCGAGTTGCCGCAGGATGCAACCTGAAAATGCTCAACCTGAAGCAAACGCAACACGAGGTATGACTGTATAGTTTAAGTCCATTTTAAAGATAAGGACATTGTAACTAGGAGAAGCCTGCGCCTTCCCTTCTATGGTGAGAGGAGCTGCGTAATCTCTTTAAATTTCAATCATTCTTTCTAAATGGACATCTAGGGATATGAATTAGCATGTGCAATTTTTATGTAAATCTATGCCCTCTTTTGTATTTTGGCAATGCATACAGTAAGTGGTCTCTCCATCAACAAAGTAGCTTGTTTTGGGGAGGACCTATATTATTGACCTATATTAGCTATGTCCATTGATTGCAGTGGATCTAGTCTTGAGTATGAATCATGTTGGATACAGTTCTGTGTGCATGATTCCCTCTGCCTGCATGTGGAGGGGTCAGCCGGGGCCTCAGTCAAATCTGAGTCATTGTGCATGCACCACAATACTCCACAATAGACCTGCACATTAGGGGGACATAGGAGACCCAGACTTTCCATATCACTTTTCAATGCCTTCTCTCACTTCCATACGGCCCTCAAGACCTTTAGGGCAGCCCTCAGCAACATTTGACACCTCCCCAGCCCTCACACTGCCTTCCCAAAGCCAGGTAAGTGAGGTGCTAGGCTTTGGGACTTGAGGCTCCGACAGGGTCCTAGAGTCCTCCCACCTCCCTCCCAAAGCCTACTTCGCACTTTCCCAGCTTTGGGAAGGAGGTGGGAGGGCTCTAGGACCCTGCCAGAGCTCCATGCTTCCTTCCCCAAGCCCTGCACCTTGCTTAGCCAACTTTGGGAAGGCAGCGTGAGGTCGGGGGGGGCCTCAAATTTTGGTCTTGCTTTCCCCCACCACGTGACAAAACAGAGTGTGGCCTGTGGCTTCTGTGCCAAAGCACTATTGCAGCTTTCTTGGTATGAAAAGTTGAGCCACCCTAATTTAGGTAATACTATTAAATAGTGGGCTTTTTAAAAAAAACCAATGGCCCACTTACCATCCTTTGAAAGCCCCTTCTGTTTATAAAAGTGGTCTGCCTGCCAGATTACGATGGGAAATGAGGTGGTCAAGAAACAACCCAAGCCTGATGCCCCTCCAGAGCTCAGAATTTTTGGATCCCAGCCCTGGGAAGTGAATAGATGCACAGCTTTACAGATCTAACCTTTGCCCAGTTTAGCAAAAGTTTAGCTAGCAAGAAACTCCCTTCAGCATGGTGGAGCTCAGTCAGTTGCGTTTGTTTTTGCAGTTCGGGAAGAAGAATGTAGATAACACATTTTTTTGATGTGGGATCTGGCTGAGATGTTATCATCTTTTAACGTTTCCCATCTCGTGTACGATTTGTTCATAAAATCACTGATATCCGTTTGATCTCTTTTGAACTCTGGAGACTTTAATCCTTTCCAGGACCTATTAGTGGTTCAGACTTCTTTTTTTCTCTCCCTCCCCCCCTTTTCCCCCCTTTTGGTAAGAGGAGCAATACCAGCTGAATAGGAAATAACAAAAGAAAACCAAAACCAAACTCTTAAAGGACGACAAAAATCTGAATTAAATCCCTAGATTTCAAACACACAAAACAAAACCAGAAGGCAACACATTTATGGAAATTAAATTCACAAGTCATAATGTTTTGGAAGAGTGGGTTAGATCTGCGGGTTCAGATTTGTACCGTAGTTTATTCCTGGGGCTCTGGTTGGGTAGTGGTACGCTATCAAATTTAGAAATACCCAATTCACTTTCCTTAACCCCCAGAATGTAAAACAGTGAACTGAGGGGTGGATACGAAAAAATAGTTGGGAAACATAATCACTTGACAAAATGCTTTCCAGCAACCCCATATTCTTGATGTGATTCTGAGGAATGGAGCCTTGTGTTGCCTCTTCCAAGAAGAAAAATACTAAGGAGGGGACAATAGCTTCATGGCAGCTGCATGTTCTTAGTCAAAGAACAGACTATCTTGGGACGTGGTGGACTCTCCTTCAGTGGAGGTTGGCTAGCCACTTGTCTCTAGCTGTGATTCCTGCATTGCAGGGGATGGAGGTAACCCTCCCAGCTCTACAATTCTGTGATTCTGTGATCCATTGTAGAGAGATGATTTTAAAAGCAAATGTACCCAGTTCCGTAGGGTTAAATAACAAGCCACAGCTGTTGTTGATATTGATTGTGATGGTGATGTTGGCAATATAGATATATACCACCCTTCCTCCCAAAGGAGCCCAAGGGCATTGAACACACAAACCATAAAACTTATTTTTTAAAATTCAATTTAGATGCAGGCTTGCTGGAAGAGGAAGGTCTTCAGTAGGTTCCAAAAGTCCAGAGATAGTGCCTGTCTAATATTTAATGGGAGGGAATGTGCTGTGTTACCCATAGATTAATCAGCAGCAAATCATAATGGATGCTTCTACCACGTTACGGGTCCTAATTTTCACAGCTTGTAACCCAAACTATGGACAATAGCAGAAGTGAGAGAGAAGGGTTCCAACTAAAATGAAGGCGCTGCTTTTGTTTTTTAATCAATTGATCTAACCTACTGATCAACTAAAGTAGCCTTCCCTAACCTGGTACTCAGCAGAGGTTTTGGACTCCATCAGTCTCAACTAGCATTGCTGATGGTCAAAGAAATTTGGAGTCTAAAACATCCAGAGGGCACCAGATTGGGGAAGGCTGAGCTAAAGACTGCTACCATTATTATTATTATTAGTGGTTGTAGTAGCAGTATTCTTTAACCCATATATTTTGTTTTGTTTTATTGTCTCTACAGTTTCAAAAAACGTTTACATAAATCCATTTTTTTAGAAAACCCAAGGGATTCTCCTGGGGTGAAAATAGCAATCATCTGTTTTGCGCATGCAGTGAACCTAGTAGCTGTCGGACAGGCCCGATGGTTTCTTTGGCTTGACATTGCTGTGTTCTTGTCACCCAACTCAGCCATCTGGTGCTGTCGATTCGAGGATGGTTTCTCTTGTAAATTTTGTACATTGTCCTTTTTTATTAATGCACACAGAGCCATTCTGCGTTGGAAGCTGCTCAGAAAACATGCTCAGATCCTTGTCAGACGGGTGATCCCAGACATCAGTTTTGATAGCAGGACTCTTTCTGGCCATATTCCGGTCAAACTTTTGAAAAACATTTGGCTTTCACTCTCACTTTTCTTCTGCCTCTGAAAGATGAAGGGGGGACACCCACACACATAAATCAGCCCATTCCCACACCTTTGCAGATGTCGGGCAAGAAGCTCTTTTTTGAAAGAGAAAAGAATCACAGAGCTCCTGTATCTTGATTTTCCACTCAACAGTGTTGTGCTTCACTCCACATTTAATGGGTTGTCCATGTGTCCTACTTTAAAGAGACAGCCCTTCATTTCAAAGGCTATCCTAGGCAGTCCTGTAATGGAAAGCCTAATCTGTTGCAAGGGCTGTCCAGTTGATAAAGAAGTGATGGGCGGGGGCTATCCTTGAAGTTGCCCATTGGAACTTCCTCACTCTGCCTAACGGAAGGGCTGGCCCTGAGAGCAGAAGTCTTGAAGGTGCCCCTATCATCAGTTAACACCTGTCCACCATGTCTCTCTCTCTCTCTTTCTCTTTCTTTCTCTCTCTCTCTCTCTCTCTCTCTCTCTCCACACACACACACACACTAACTAACTAACTAACTAACTAAATAAATAAATAAATATTAAAATACAGAAAAAGAGGGGAAATACAACTAAAGAACCAGTGCAATGTACAAGGCACATCATGACTTCAAAGGGAAAAAAAGTTCCAGAGCCTGTGTTACATACATTAAAGTTGCCAAATGTCCTTAATGGCTGTTGTTGTGTGTTTTTGCAAGTTGTCACCAAATACAGTGAGATGTATTAGTTTTCTGTTTAAATTATAGTTATTTCTAAATATAGGCAACCCCTCATTCACGCCGGGGTGGCATCCTGGGTCATTGCGTGCTTGCGTGAAATTGTGTGAAAACAAACCCATTGAAAAAGCCTGCAAACACCCAGTTCCACCCCTGCCCTGCCCTTTTAGTGATGTTCCAGTGACAACTTTATGATGTGTCCGGGTCACTTGTGGGTTCGGTGCTGTGCGCATGCATTGCACCTGAATGCAAA